GCCTCTGTTCTCCACAGGAAAGGAGGTAGATGGTACTTTCTAGCACTACCTGAAACTTTGCTTGAGCAACATCCAAAACACTTGAGAAATTGAATGGCACAGTCAATCAATTAGGCCTAGGACCTGGTGGTTAGGTCAATGGTGTCAAACACTAACCCTTTAACAATCAAATTGAGAGAAGGCCTGACAACTGAATGCCGTCAACACTGGCTGATGACTATGCAAGGCATCGGATGTGGACGAGAACAGATACCAGCTCCATTCTTCATAGCTCGACAGGGTTGTTGAGGGAGCTAGGCCTGTAGTCCCAAACAGCATGGCCATGGCCTCACCCACACTGGTCAGACAGCACAGTGGAAACAAGGGGCAGACATACCCAAGTGTATCTAAAGGTCCAGAGAGGCTCTGTGTGAGGCAGCAACAGCCCTGCTTAATCTATAGGTACTAACCACCAGGTATCCTGGCCAGGAATAGTTAGTGTTAGCTGCCTGTGGTCCCTAAATCCTGGGATTCATCTTTTCTCTTAGTGGCCAGTAGAGGAATGAATAGGCTATGAAATTGTTGGCCTGTGCAAGCAACCTTATCCACACAGGGTACCCTGGGAAACACTTGGAGGAATTCCCGACTCTTAGACCCTGGAAGCTGAATGCTCAGGCATTCCTGCTAATGGATCACTGGGCCTGTGCACAGCTTCCTTGCTCACTACAGGACTAACAACAGGGACGATGAAGGAGTGAAGGCCAAAGTTTTGCCCAGGCGTGCTACTGGACAGGATCACAATGTGCCAGAGGGCTAGAGAATACACCAAGTAGGGAGGGTGGCCTATTCCATGGTGATTCTGCAACCCTAGCCAGTGAGGGTCTCTTACACATCAACTGTGATGAAAAAAGGGATAGGGCCACATTCCTCAGTTGTAAATTGTTCTTCCCCAGGAGAGGTGTTATTTGCTGTTTTTAGGCTAGGTCTCACCTAGCCCAGGTTTGCTTTAAACTCCCTACATAGCAGCAGATGACCTTGAACTCCTGATCCTCCTGCCTCTACCTCCCAAGTGCTAGTGTGCACCACCACACCGGGCCACCAGCGATACTCAAAGGAAGAGAATGAACCCTGATGTCTGCAAATGTGTAAGAAAGATCAGCTGATATCACTGTCTGGGAGCACAAACATAAAACCAAGGAAACACAACTCCAAAGGAAAACTATGGCCAACACTGCTCCGTACCGACCACTGGGTGGCAGGCACTGTGTACCACAGACAGCTTGGTTGCTAGCCCACAAATTCTGGGATGTAACATGAAACTTGGGAATGAATGTCCAAAGTATGTACAGGTGAATATTATTCCCCCTAAAAAGGAAATTCTGACACATTATAGCATTGACTAACCTTAAGGACATCATGCTTAGTGAAATAAGACAGGCACAAAAGAATAGAGTACCTCAAATAATCAAGTTCATGGAAGAAGTGGATGATGACCAGGGACTGGGAAAGAGACCAGAGAGATGCTATTTCACGGGTACAGCGTCACAGAAGATGAAACATTTCTGAAGACAGATGTTGCTGGGCACATTTCCTGCACAGTTCCAGCAAGGCGAGAAAGAGCCGGAAATTTTAGGTTTGGTTCCCACTGCTTTGGTCTGCAGGTCACCTCTACTTCCCTAGCTTTGGTCAGAATGCACCAAAATAAGTCTGCTCAATTTGACGGAAAAACTTGGTGTGTAGTACTCGATCTGATGCCCATTTTGTTCTGAGCTTTCACTGTACAAACAGTAACTTGGGGCCTTGCTTGTGAACCTGCCCTTCCTGGACTCTAATCTTCATAAGCAGAGGCTGCCTATTACAATCTATTACGTAAGCTCAGTCCCTTGAACAGGGGCTGGCACATGGTAGATACCGTGCGTAAACAATGGTAGAAGGAAAAACAGAACCCAAAAGGCAGGTGAAGGTGGAACCTGGTAAGGTTAGTTTAGGAAGAGCGGCACTATCTGAAAATAGTGAAGCCGGGAAGGCCAAAAATTTAGTCCACCAAATTGCACAGCTAAACACGATTCCATGATGCAAACCAAGTGAGGGCAGTCTCTGTGCCATATCCTGGGGACAAGAGGCTCTAGAAACAACAGAAGAAAAGGGAACTTGGACTCCAGGGGCAACAACCGTGTTTGGGAAAATACTCTGATGCCACAGCTTCCTGGAACAACGTGAGCACAGGGGAAGAGGTTCGACTTCTCTTTGGCTTTTTAAATGTTATGAGTTTTTATTCATGTATTTTAGTGTGTGTGTGTACGAATTTGTGTGAATGCCACCCTGTAGTGGCCAGAAGACAATTTGGAGGAGACGATTCTCTTTCTCCATGCAGGTCCAAGGGACTAATTATCAAGTTGTTGGGCTCCTGGAAGGTACCTTCGACTGCTAAGCCATTTCACTGGCCCCTTTCTTAAGGTTTTAGAGCTAAGGAAACTGTTCCTTAGACTCACTGCTATTCATGGGTTACCATGGAAAGAGTCTGCTCTGCTTTTCCCTTGTAGAAAAATATGAAGGAGTACCCTACAGAATCACTACTCCTTTGGAGAGCCTTTGGTTTTACTGGCTTCAGTTTAGAGAAAGTCGGTTCACCTAGAATCTAGACGATCCGTAAGGGCATTTTTTGGTTATGAGTAGGATGACTCTCCATCCAGGTTTGTATCTGTTGTTCCCCGTTAACTTATTAATAACTTGTCTCATAGTTCACTCTGTAAACTACTGGGGTTTGGACAATAAATCTGAAGGTCACCCAACTTATAAATAACATTTATAACTGGCTGTGGAGGTCCTAGGAAGAGACAGAGGAACAAACATTTCCATTGGCTGAGCACACCCAGCTGTGCTGTGCTGTGCTGGGCACCAGCAGAAGGCTTCAGGACTGTCCAGAGGAGAGTGCTTTGCTGGGAGCAGGCCCAGGTGTTCCAGGCGTTTCCTGCAGAGAAGGCCTGAAGGAAGAAATGGGGTGGCCGGTGGGGGTGGAGGACCACCTCTTCTAACTGTGGTCAGGAGCTTAGGAAGTCACTTAGTCCACCTCGCCACAGGGTCTGATGGCACAGGCCTGTCATCCCAACTACTTGAGAAGCTGAGGGAGAAGGATCACAAGTTCAAAGCCAGCCTGGGCAATTTAATCAGATCCTGTTTCCAAAATTAATAAATAAAAGTTAAATTAATAAATAAAACTACAGTAGTTTAAGGCTCTAGGTTTAATCCCTAGATATGGGGCAGGGAGCCATCTGGGCCACCAGTTTCCCAGCCTGTAACCCTGAGATAACAGTGTTTTCCTCCAGGGACAGGCTGGTTACTTAACAATGGCCGCTATTATTCCATTATATAGATGGAGCCAGGAAAGGGCGAACTGCTGATCAAGGCACATACTAATTCTGGCCAGCTGGAACCACGTCACCATACACTACCTGACTTGGAGAGAGAAGTTGCCCAAGGTCACACAACTCCTGATCGGCCGGGTCTGTCTCTGCGCCCCACTCGCTGTGGGGATATGAGCATGACCAGCACTCCTGTTCCAAGCATAGGAGAGGGTCGAACACAACAAAGGGCGGGGGAGGGCTTGCAAAAGTCATCGAATCTCGGAGATTCGAACTGGAATCCGGGGGGGGAAAAAAAAAAACCAGGGGAGAGTGAGTGGCCTCCTCCTCAAGAAAGCAAAACAGATCACCTTGTACACTCGCTCCCTCGGCGGGGAGGAAGCACCAAGCCCCGGGGCTGGCTGAGAGCTTACGTAAGGCCACTCGCGGCTGCGCCCCGGTGTCCCCAGGGTGTGCGCAGCGCCAGGGAGCGGTGCGAGGGCGGGCCTGCCCCACCACACGCGCTTCCCAGCCTCTCTAGACTCAGGGACCACCGGCCCCAGGGCCGCAGCGTCGGGGCTGGGCGCGGCGTCCTCCCACGGCCCCCAGCTTCCCGGGGGAGGAGCAGCGCATCGCGCAAGCATCCGGGATCGGCGGAGGGGGCGGGAGGAAGGGCAAGAGGAGGAAGCGGGATTTAAACGAAAGGCGGTGACGCCACACAAAAGATTCCTATAGGCTCCGGGGAGGTTACGGCCGAGGTGGCGGCGGCGAGCCGGGGGCGAGGCGGACGCGAGGAGGCGAAAGCCGCAGCCGCGCGCGGGCAGGCGGGTGTCCCCTGGCCTGCGGTCTCCGCCCTTCCTTTCAGTTGCTCGGAGGTCGCTCGGAAGTTGCTGGTTGACAAACATGGCAGGAGTCGGGGCCCCGGTCGGGCCGCCGAGGAGCCGCGCGCCCCTTCTGAACCGACTACCCTGGGGGGCGTCGGATGCGCGGGGCCCGTGGGTTCTGCGGGGGAACAGGGATGGAGTCGCCACGACAGCCGGTCGCCGGGCGCGGGCCATTCAGGAGGGGACGGCGTGCCGCCGCGGCGCCGGGCCGCGCACTCTGAACCGCCAGGCGGGAAGGCGCGGCCGCCCAGCGCCCTGTGTTGCAGCCTCCCGCCCGACCGACTACGCGCTGCCGCCACAGAGCCAGCCACGCCCTCGGCCCTGCGGCCGCCCAGCGCCCAAAGAGCCGGAGCCGGAGATGCGGCCGCTCGCCCCCGATCGTCTGCCCCGGCCGCCGTCGCCGGCCGGTGCCGCCTGGCGGGGTCGCCGCGCCTGAAGCCCACGTGCGCCGCGGAGCCCGATCGCCGCAGCGCCGCGGCTGACAGCAAAGCCTGCCGGGGGCCGCCGCCCGCGCTCCTCCAGGAGCAGAGGATTTTGATTTCAAAGGAAGGAAGGAAGGAAGGACAACTCCCAGCCTCCCCGTCCCGCCCTCTCCGCTCCGGCGGCCCGGCCGGCCATGCCCAGGAAGGCGGCGACAGCCCGGCAGCGGGGACTTTTCTGGTAGGGCTCGTGGCGAGGGGCGCGGACTAAGAGTCTGCCGTGCCCCAGCTCACGGTTCCAGCGAGCGTGCACAGCGCCCCAAAGAGCTTGTCGCGCGGGCTTGGGCCCGCCCCGCGACGCCCGCCCCCCCCCCCCCCGGCCGCCGCCACCCCGATCTCTGTGCCCGCCGCGGTGGGTGGCATGATGGTGCGCGGAAGGCAGCGCGGCCCTGGCCAGCTGAGTCGCGGCGGCGGTGGTAGCGGGCTCCCCAGCGGCATGCCAGTGCCCCCTGGGCGCGATGGCTAGCGGCAGCGCCGGGAAACCCACTGGCGAGGCGGCTTCTCCGGCTCCTGGGAGCGCCGTCGGCGGGGCCAGCTCACAGCCACGGAAGAGGCTGGTGTCGATCTGTGATCACTGCAAGGGCAAGATGCAGCTGGTGGCCGACCTGCTGCTGCTGTCTAGTGAGGCGCGGCCGGTGCTCTTCGAAGGCCCCGCCTCCCCTGGCGCCGGCGCCGAGTCCTTCGAGCAGTGCCGGGACACCATCATCGCGCGCACCAAGGGGCTGTCCATCCTCACCCACGACGTGCAGAGCCAGCTCAACATGGGCCGCTTCGGAGAGGCGGGGGACAGTCTCGTGGAACTGGGTGACCTGGTGGTGTCGCTGACCGAGTGCTCCGCGCACGCGGCCTACCTGGCGGCCGTGGCCACGCCGGGCGCTCAACCTGCACAGCCCGGCCTTGTGGACCGCTACCGTGTGACACGCTGCCGCCACGAGGTGGAGCAGGGCTGTGCCGTGCTTCGAGCCACCCCGCTGGCCGACATGACCCCACAGCTGCTGCTGGAGGTGTCGCAGGGCCTGTCTCGCAACCTCAAGTTCCTGACGGACGCGTGCGCCCTGGCCAGTGACAAGTCACGGGACCGGTTTTCGCGCGAGCAGTTCAAGCTGGGCGTCAAGTGCATGAGCACCAGCGCCTCCGCGCTGCTGGCATGCGTGCGCGAGGTGAAGGCGGCGCCCCAGCGAGCTGGCCCGCAGGCCGCTGCGCGCTCTTCAGCGGGCCCTTGGTGCAGGCCGTGAGCGCTCTGGTGGGCTTCGCCACTGAGCCTCAATTCCTGGGTCGCGCAGCGGCCGTGAGCGCCGAAGGCAAGGCGGTGCAGACCGCCATCCTGGGAGGCGCCATGAGCGTGGTGTCGGCCTGCGTGCTCTTGACCCAGTGCCTCAGGGATCTGGCGCAGCACCCCGATGGGGGCGCCAAGATGTCGGACCACAGGGAGAGGCTGAGGAACTCAGCCTGCGCCGTGTCTGAAGGCTGCACCCTGCTATCTCAGGCTTTAAGGGAAAGGTCTTCACCCAGGACTTTACCGCCAGTGAATTCCAATTCTGTGAATTAACACCCCACTCCATCCCCCCCCCCCCCCATACCCGTTTTCCACCCCAGGCTAAAGGAAGACACTTACTTCTCCCCTCTCCATTTATACCAAAGAAATCATAGGTGACCCCCCCTCCCCCCATGTTAAATGCTCAAGAGGAATTTTCCAGAACGCAGGGCCATGCACACAACTCAACACGTACGCAGAGGGCCCAGGTGTCTACCAGCCCACTGTAGGGACTCAGATGCAAAAGATGGGTAGGTGGTCCGCTGGCTGCAGGATTACCCTTACACACTCCAGCCCCTCAACTCAGTTAACTAATTGGGCAGGAAAAAGGTCATGGGTTCATTTCTTTCTTCTTTTTAATTAAAAGAAAGGTTACCTCAGTTTTCACTCATTAGACATGGATGTAGCTACCTTTTTGTATGTCGTTATTTTTGTTGAATTAGCGTATACATGGTGTGATAAGAGTATGACTTTGCCATGTGATTTGCAAGTGGGGGGGGGAAAGCTACTGTGAGCGTGTGTTTTATTTTTTAATTTACACTATAGAGTGATTTTTCCCCCCTCAATGTCAAGTTTTTACCCTGCATGTACTGGAGTATTTATTTCATCTATTAAATTGTTATGTTTCTCAGATGGCTTTTTGTAGTTGCTCTGTTCTCACTAACTCTGCAGGCTGCCGGTCATCTGTGGGACCGGGCTGTGGGGAAAAGGTTTGCTTCGGTTGGCAAGTGAATCCCCAGCGCCCAACCTTTGCCACTTTCCCCCTCAAGAATTACTCTTCTGAGCATCCTAGCACCCCAGGAAGACAAATGTATGTGATCTATTTTTAAAGGCAGGCGACATGTGATTGGATTATGCAGTGCTTGGGGGTGGACTGTTTCGTGGGGGTTTTGTCTAATAGTTTTGCTGGAAAGTAATTTAGCTGTCTTTGTCCTCACTCATCTCGCTATCCCCATGAGCCACGGTTCAGACTGGCTGAAGTCTGATTTGGTGCTCTGCCTGCCATGCTCAGATTAAAGCACTTCCTAATCCTGTGTGGGCTACAGCCTTGCCAGCTCACAGGATTTCTGCGTGGGACTCAACGGCACTGTGTATCAACCGAGCGCGTTTAGCATCTTTGGGGAGGAGGCTAGGCCTGACTCAGAAATCTCTATGGCTTTAGGTGCTTCTAGGCTGTGTGGTAGAGGAGGATGGCTCCTGGAGAGTGTAAGAACTTTCTAGAGCATTATTGCCGGCAGAGGGCTTGTTTTTGTGACCTTGAACCAGTGGTTGGTGGTGTACTGAAAGAATACTTTGTTGATTGAAATTATGCCATCCATGGTGGTTTGTCTTTTCCTTTGTAGACCTATAAAGGAATTGGGGATGGGGTTGTAAGGTTATAGTTAGCTGAAGACACTGTTGAATAGTTTCATTATTAAAAGAATGACAAATTTATTTACAGCCTTGAAGCCTGGAAGAGCCACATGGGCAAAAGGGTTCCTACAGGCTATAAGTGTATCATTTAAGTTTTTCTTGGGCTTTATTGTGCTTAAACCTTGGCGGTGCCCACAAATCTGAAAAGTTTTCACTGTGAAGTATCAGTATCATGAGAGTCATACTGATTGACTTGCTTGAATGTCTGCAAGAATATGAAATTTAACGTGTAAAATTATCCTCTCTCACACTGGTAGAAGAATGTTAAAGTAAGAGGGTGGATCCATTTCATTTACAGTGGTCAGGGAAAGCTGGCCATGGTGGCTCACACCGGTAATTCCACCACTTAGGAAGCTGAAACAGGAGCATTGCCATGAGTTTGAGGTCAGCATGGGCTGCCTCAAACAAAAAAATATTCATTAGGAATTTTAAAAATGATCAACAGAGCAGTCATTTTCTCTGTCAGGTCCTGTCAAGGTAAAAGAACGTAACCCTGAGTGGATTCATCCCCTGCTCTGTGGTAAAGTTTAGATCAGCTTCAGGGAGATATGGGAGGGGGATACCAAAGAAAATCCTAAGTGCATATGGAAATTCTTTCTATTTATTGGATTTACACAAATAATGATAAGATCTAAATTTTGTATAGTTTCTTCAGTCTGCAGATCACAGAGTAAACTCAAAGGAAATAAGAGTAAGAAACCTGTGAATTCGGTAATTAAGAAAAAAGAATTGCCAACTTTTTCTTGGACTCACTCCCTAAAGAAGTAATTTTAAAAATCATGCACACCTAAAGAAAAAAAAAAAAAACTTGCCCTGTCTCCTCGCATGACGTTAACTAGCTAGTCTCCAAGTTAAATTTGACACTGCTCTTTCTCATAGACAAGTAAGGAGTGCTCTCAATGGGTGTGTGTATTTAAAGGTTTCGGCATGTAATGTTAAAAATCTCTGTCCTGAAGAAAAGTGACATTTTTTTCTCTTCTGTTTATGAGGCTCGGGGTTTGTCCAACAGCAGGTGTCTTGAAATGAGAGCCAGTGTGAGGAGCACACAGCACTGTTGGGGTGTGTGTGTGTGTGTGTGCAGTGTTTGTTTGGCCAAGGGACTTGGGCACAGGGCTTTGATATTGTAACTTTCTTCTAGTGTGCTAGTTGCCAAACTTCTCTTTTAAATAGTCCCTGATTTTTTTTTTTCTTTAAAAAGAAGTACATCAACCTATTTCATAATAGGGTGTAATGAGGTCAGCAGAGTTACTGGTTCCAGGAATAAAATCAGAATGGCCTCCTTTCACTTTTCTTTTTAATATGTAAATTAAACTTCCCTACTATTAAATTCCAGTCCATCCCTGGGTCCTTCTGACTTCCCAAGTCAAGGTTTGTAAGTCAAGCTTAAAGCAGACTGTCTTTTCTGACCTGAGATGTCAAAAACCTTCTTAGGAATGCTAAGGAGAAAAAGGAAAAACAGCTAAGTTCCCCAAACAAAAGCCATTATCTATGACAGTCAGCCAAGGACATGGGACAAAACAGGCTTTCAAGCGTTACCAGGAAAAAAAAAATCACAACAAGCCTTTCTTTGGTAGTTTAAAGTTTGGCCTTTCTTATTCTGAGTTCTTGGTAAGAATGCAAAATTGTGTGTGTGTGTGTGTGTGTGTGTGTGTGTGTGTGTGTGTGTGTGTGTGTGGTCTGTCTGTCTCTCAGCCCCTGTGATCTTTATAATTTTGGGCGCATCAGTTAATGGCTGAGTAGTGGTTCTTTTATACTTTCCTTTTTAAACTGGTGTAGGGATCTGAGCTATTTGGCAGTTTGAGACAGCTAATTATAACGGACACCTGTTTTTCTGAATGAACGTGCCTGGTGAACAGGCAGAGTAGCAGGGGTTTGACAGAGGACCTCCAGAGTTACCAACCAAACAGTGCGCAGAGACTGAGAGGACTTGGAGAAGACATCCACAGACTTCGCACGTTTGCCTGGCTGGGTCTGCTGCTTGCCTTGACCTGTGGCTCCAGTAACTAAAAGAGTTCTTAGGGAGACCTGGGTCTTAAGGTTGGAAACAGACACTTGTGCCCCGGGCAGATCCTCTCAGGGTTTACTCATTTATTTACTTTGCATATGTGTGACTAATTGGTCCGTTTTGCTTAAGCTAAGTTTCTGTGAGTAATCTGCTTCCCCCACAATGATAAAAGGCTCAAAAGGTGAAATTGTCTATTTACAACCAGGAAAAACCACCTTAGCATGGACATCTGTGATTGGGAATCAATTTAATAAGGCTATGAACCCATTAAGGTCAGAGGCTATAATGCCTGGCCTATAGGAATTTTGGTTTTGAAACAAAACTAATAAAATGCCCTTGACAAGCTGATATAAGCAAGTAGTGAAATGGTTCCTGGAAGTGAAGTTCTAATGGTCATCCACAGAGCAAAAGACTGGGAGCCAAGTAGGGTACAGCTGTTAAGTAGTACATGGTCTAGAGTCAGTCAACAGATCCTGTGTGGTCCAAAGACCTGCATGCAGCAACTGCCCTATCCTGGATGCTATCTCGGGTTTGTTCAATAGAAGCTGGTCTGTGTTGTGTCGGGCTCTCCAGGTAGACTAGTGCATGCTCAGGTTGGAGACTCCTATGAGTCTATGGAGTATGTGGGTTTCTTTTTACGCCTTCTCCATCTTTAAACAGGAGGCAGCAGCATTTCTCTAAGCCCTCCGACCCCCTTACTCTGGTGTCCTTTTCTCTTGGATATTGTGAGATTCAGCCTAGGTCTTTGTATGTGGTAGGCAAATGTTCTGCCACTGAGCTATGTCTGTAGGCCCTAAGAGCTTTTCTTTGGATAGATCTTTGAGGATGTGTGTGTTGTGGGTTTTTTTTTTTTTTTTTTTTTTTTTTGTATATATGATGTGTATGTGGATGCAGGTGTGTATGTACCACATCTTACATGTGAGAATTAGATCATCAGGGCTGTGTAGCAAGTGATTTTTAGCTTCGGGGCCATTTCTTTGTGTGTGTGTGTGTGTGTGTGTGTGTGTGTAAAGTACAGAGTTCTCTTCACTCTTTGGAAATAAACTGGAAGAATACAACAGTAACTAGCAAAATGGCTTTATGTTGTTAACATACCATCTCTTGTCCTGGAAATAGCAAGGTGAATCAACCTGTGAGCTCCTTGACCACCCAAGAAAGAGCACTTCACTTCTGAGTTTATTATTTTTTTTATATAATTTTTAAAGGTTTTTTTTTTATGTGTATGAGTATTTGCCTGCATGTATGGACGTGCACCATGTACATGCCTACTGACTGAGGAGGTCAAAAGAAGGTGGCAGATGCCCTGGAACTGGATTTATGGATGGTTGTGAGTCATCATGTGGATGCTGGGAACCAAACCTGGGTCCCCGGTGAGAGCAACAAGTGTCCTTAAACTGCCGAGCCTTCTCTCTAGCCCTGCTACTGAGTTTATAAAACATTTCGTAGTCACAAGCAGGTTATGTGCAGACCAATTCCAAAGTGTACTTTAGGAGCTTTGGACTGTCTTATGTGATATGCTCAGGAGATAGAGGATCTTTAAGGGTGGTCAGCCTTAAGAGCTAGTGTTGCCATTTAAAAGAATCTCACTGCTTCTGGGACAGTGGCAGGAATGGGGACCAGGACCAGAAGCTGCCACTCACATCCTCCATTACTCAGATGGTACACAGAATCTCAGCCATACCCTGGTCCCAGCCCTGCCTGCTCTTTGGCAACTTATCCAGGTGGCCCTGGTCACATTAACTCTGGAGCAGATCTGTGGTAGGATGAGGTAGCCATGATTGTGCTCTGGCTTTACCCTGAACGGTGGGAACTGGAGCATTTGTTATACTTATTTGAGCCTCTTTAGTTGACAGACCACTTTCACTCCTAATGTGCCCTTGGGTCCTTAGAACACTCTTGGGAGGAGGTAGGTATTACTCACTGTGTCCGTCTTCCAAACATGTGTGCCTCTGTTTTCCCGTTGTAAAGACTAAAGCAAATATTTACAGTGAACTCCATGAAGTGGAAGGCCTCGTGACAGGCTCCACCAGAGTAGCCCCGTCTACTTCATGGAGTCATGGGACTGAATGTTAGGTTCACAACAGATTTCCGTTGACACTCTTGCCTTAACTTCCGGTGCTTGGACACAGCAAGTGCATTGATGTTTTGTTCTCCGTCCTCTAAGAAGTGCTCAGTGTAGCTTCAGACCTCCAATCCAGATTCCCTACAACATT